AAAAAAAAAAAAAAAAAAAAAAAAAAAAAAGCCTCTTAAGACCTCGTAGTTCGCAAGTTTTAGGAAGAAAAGAGGAATGGAGTAATAATACATGGAGACGCAAAGCTTTATTATTGATTCAGATACAGGGCAAGTGTGAGCCTCTTACTTAGGTCGTCGATACATTATGTCATCAAAGCCTTGTTTTATTTGATTTCCTACTTTACGAATGTTCTTGGCGACCCCATTCGCCACCAGGTTTGCATTTCGAGTGAACCTGCATTTTTATAAAAGAATAGGATTATGTTGGTCAAAGTTCACAAATTAACGTAATATTAAGCGTAAGCACAAGTCAGAGGGCAATCATTGTATATTGTGCTGTCATGAGGAACTTCCTATCTAAGACTTTAGCACAAAATACGTTAAGAGGGGTGTATTCGTTTGAGATTTTTAAAGACTTTTTAAGACTTCAAAAATCCTTAAACTTTTTTAAGGCTTTTAAAAGTCTTGAGGTAATTATTTGAGGTTTTAAAAAGTCTGACAAAATTTTGAGGTATTTAACTTATTTGAAAGATTTATTATGATTTGCTAGGATTCCCAAAAAAAAAAAAAAAAAAAAAAACATATACGAAATCTACTCCAAATCCCACCTCCAAACTTAAACGTATTCGTTTGAGATTTCGATTAATTTTTAGAGTTATCAGATTTTGGAAGAATCCTGTGAAATCTTAAGCTTTGGGGTGGGATTTCATTTAAGGTTTTTTCTTTAGAAATCTCAGAAAAAGTCTCAACAAATCTTTAGTCCCAAATAAGTTAAATACCTCGATTTTGTAAAACTTTTTGAAACCCCAAACGAATACCCAGAACTTTTAAAAGTCTTAAAAAGTCTAAATTAAATACACCAGAAATTCTAAATTCTTAAAAATCTTTAAAAATTCCAATTGAATATACCCCCTTCATAAAATTACTCCTAAATCTGCAAATCTTAAAAAGTCTCAAATCTCAAAAAAAGTCTCAAAATGTCAACTGAAATCCCAAACGAATACAACCATCCAATTAACTTTTGATGCATAATTCTAAACTAAACCTAAAAATAGGTAATGAGATGTCACCAACTACATTGACATTGAGTTGGCATTCTAACTCAGCCATGAAATGTATATAGTTGCAGCATGGGATATAAAAGAGCTTGCCTGCTGAAGAACTCTTCCCCAGTTGCATTAGTAGGTTTAGGTGTCCGCCTTTGTGGCAATTCATTGCCATCTGTAGAATGAAAAGATAATGCTATGCATCAAGTTAACCACTAAAACGCAAGAAGTAAACCTTAAGCATATATATGATACTGCCTCCTATTTTTTTTTAAATGTCATTTTGACTTTATCAACCATTTACAAAATTAATGAAGTTTTAGATCTTTTGTAAATATTTTCCATTATTATCCTTATTTAGCTAATAAATGCACTACGCATTTTCATATTAAATCTTCATCTTTTCTAAGAACATCCATCTCTGTTTTATTAAAGAGGGTTATTATTGGAAAAAAAAATCTTAATTACAGTGTAACTACTCAAAACGACATATATTATGAATGGGAGGGAGAATGTGTTATTGGCACGGTGAAATCATGCAACAAATACTCGTGCTAAGATATTTCCAAAAAAAGTGATAAGGATCTTGCGAAATCGTGCATTAACAAGCAAGGTTCCACGGAGGAGAAAACTCAAATAAAAAACGGTTGCTTGGGATTTTAAAATCTACCAAAAAAGAAATATATATATATATATAAAAAAAAAAGAGAAGAAGAAGAAGAATGAGAAAGAAAATAGAATACTTGATTCATTCAAACTTGTTTCAAATACATGCATGTAGCTATAACATCAGGAAACTCAAAGACGATTTAAAAAACTTCAACTTTCCTGTGGAATCTTATTTACATAAATAAACAATCATCTTTTTTTTCTTTTTTTTTTTTACTTAGAAAATCTCACTTTTCTGAGAAAACTTAACAACAAGCTCAAACTCCTAGCTGACCTACGATGTTCAATGTCTAAATAACATAATTAATATTTGGTTGCAAACCTCAGGTTCATAGCTGACTCTAAAGCAGCTAACACAGTGGAGAACATTTTACCTCCTTTATTCTGAGTATGGGTAGGAACGCGTGCAGTTTCAGCAGAAGGGTTAGCAACTCTCCTATCCACCAAAACCTGCTCAGAAAACAGATATGTTAGTATTATATTAACATAAGTATTGAAATTCACAGAGCAACCGGAGCCAGAAAACAGTTAATAAGGTGTGGTAATGATTGGCTGTGTTCGGCAATTAAAGGATTGCGCAAAATGAGAGATATGAATCTTACATAAGGATTGACCTCTCGACTCATAATCCCTAGTTGATTTGTTTGGTTAATGTGTTAGGATTAACTTCATGGATACAAATGCTAATTTTTGAAAAGTTGGATACAGGAGCTTCTGATAGAGCGCTGTAGAAATTGGGAGAAATGAAACGCTTGTTTTTAACTTCATTAAAGTAAAAATTCTGCCTGATAATCATTATTACCATTAATTTACACATGCAAAAAAATGTAAATTATTTACAACAAACATATAAGTTAACAATTTGTAACCTTTATCAATTTGCATTTGATAGAATAAGAAAAATTTTACACAACCAAGAAGCTACAAGTTAATTTATGAACAATTCAGTTAGTCAAGCCAACCAATTTCTAAACAGTGTCACTATCTTCCATATCAATTATCACCACCAAAAATATTGAATAAGAAAACAGAAGGCCAAATATGTATAAATCATAACGTGTCAATGCTGCAAAACATAATTAAACCCAACCGTGCATAATAAAGAACAATTTGAGGCACTAACCTCAAGGCCTAAGCAGACAGGTAATTCTGCTTGATGCTGTTGCCCATTGGGAGTTTGGCCTTTACGATCCTCATAAAGTGAATAACCAATGCAACCATATCTAAACTCTGTAAGGTTTCTACCCTCTTTAGATGCTTCAACCTCAGATTGTCCAACAATGTATGGAGGTACTAATCACCAAACAAAAGAATTATAATCCACCTCTAATATTATCCTAAGTGGGATATGCTAACACAACGTCAATAAAAAAGTACTCTGACGTGCATAACAAGAATATCTAACCCAACCACAATGTGTAGATTATAGGGAGGTTTTTGAACCATTCTATGTGCCATTTATCTTTTTTATGCATTATATGATTTCAAAAACAGAGCTTTAAGATAACCTTATGGAAAATAAAATAGAAATTATTGTCTCCAAGAATTGCGCTATCCATTCTTCGAAATCAAAGCATTAACTTAAAGGTCCACGATAAAAAATCTGTTCGACTGAACCAGATTCGAGAAAGCCAGGCTTAACAAGCAATCAGTGACCAAAATCCAAATTCATGAAAAGGGTACCTCCCAACTTCTTAGTTTTGTTCAGAAAAATGAAGCAAATATCCCATCAAAAGCTCAAAGTTCCAATCTTTTAAGCTACATGGAAACACAACATCCAATCCATGATAACATACAAATGAAAAAGAAAGAAAAAAGAGGTAAGGAGAGCAAATCACAGCAAATACGAATACAAATCCATTCTCCGACCTTGAATACTATGCATTAAAAAACAAAAACAAAAACAAAAACAAAAACAAAAACAAAAACAAGAAACAAGAACTGAAAGAGGAAATTAGGGCTACCATTGGGAAGGGAACGGGTGAGGCCAACGCACATAGGGTTCCGAGAATCAGCCTTAAAACGCGAAGAATAATAAAGGCATCCTTTGCAAGATTTCGCCTTTATCCCAATTCCATTACCAGCACCTTCTGCAGAACTCGAATTCTTCTTCGGCGACGCAGGGCATGCTCCGCCGTCGGCTCGGTTCAGCTGATTTGAACCGACCGATTTCGAATTGGTATCAGTCGGGCTTGATTTCCTGTTTGGCGATTCAGCCATTACCGCGCGTGAGATTAACTTGCCTTCTTCGCCTTTCGTTCTCTCGTCCGCCATCGCTAGCAGTGCAGGTGGTTCATTTCATTTGCAGTGTTTTCTGAAGAAGGAACCAAAGGTCAATTCTCTTTTATTTTTTATTTTTTTACAATCAAAAGTTTTGGTTACCTATATTTTATTGTTATTATTATATTAATAATTAAAACTAGTACAGAGCCCGTGCGATGCACGGGATGCATAATTTTAAGGTTATTTATCCAGCCTTATAATTATATAAATGAATAAAAAATGTACGGGATATATATAGTACGGGACCGGTGCGAGACACGGGATATATTTATTTAGGGAATATTATATTATAAGATGCAATATTCAATAAAAGTTTTATAGTACGCAGGAAAATTATACAATAAAATAGTATCTGACAAAAAAAAATCATATATTATTAAAGACCTCATAAAAAATCATATATTATAGTACGCATGAAAATTAAGGAACTTTAAACAGCATAATTTTTAAAAAAAAAAATCATTTTAGAGAACTTTAAACAACATATTTACGTCACTAATAAAACATATTATATTTCAACATCAAAGTTATAGTATTATTTAAGGAATTTGAAACAGCATTGTTAAGTATTTACGTCCACCCATAAATTTTTTACAAGTCGAAGGTAATTAATCCCGTTTCCTTTTTATTTGTTTGTTTGTTCAATTTTTTTGACAAAACTGATATCATGGATAAAAAAATTTAATATTAAATAAATTAATTAAATAATAAAAAATAATATGCTTTAGACAGATATAGGATGCAGATAATCCTCTCATACCAAACAACGCGATTTCAAAATTGACTCAGATCCAGCAATCATATCCAATATTTTATACAAATAAATATTAAATAAAATGCTTTAAACAAAAATTAGATAAGGAATTTTGAATCTGCCTTTTTTTTAGTATAAATAGGCTTTACTTACATTTTTTGACTTCACCGATTATGGGATTTGTTTTGACTAAATCGATGTTATTATGGAATAAGACAAATAAATAAAGTCTTTTTTATTTTAGTAAAGATTTTACATACTTTTTTCCGACTTATCGGATGTTATGGATTTTTTTTTCTTAAGCCGGTTTTTATTTTAGTAAAATTTTTTAAGAATAACTAATATAATTTTATTATCTAACCATCAATAAAATCATATAATGATGTGGTTATTATCTTTTAAATGATAAATAATATAATTTATTTTAAAAAAAATATTAGTTTTATATAAATAACTAAAGGTTAAAAAATATTACTCGACAAATATTAATTATAATGTATATCAGTAAAATCATTGCATAAATTATTTAAGGAAAAAATATTTAAAATCATATCTGGATAATAAATATAAATATGCAAGCATTTAATGCTTATAGTAAAAAATTTCCAAATAAGGTATGCATTAAATGTGTGTTGACTTTTCTTGCTACTATTTTTGGTAAATGAGTTGGCTTTTAATATTCTTGTAGAGTTTCTCATATGTATGTGTCAACTTATTGTGCTTAGTATATGTCAAAGTTTGGTATTTTTCTATATATATAAAATTAGTACGATATTCGTATACTACACGGGTGTTTAATAAAATAATTAAATATACAATGAAATAAAAAATATTTATTTATTTTGTTAAAGTTGAAAAAATAACTAAAGAAACAATATATAACAATTAATAATACAAAACTAAGTGAATTAAGATTCAAGAATATTATTTAAATTATAAAAACAATTTTTTTTATTACATCATTAATTTTATTAATAAAAATTGTATTTAAAACACATAAGAAAACAATATGCATAAAACACAAAATTTAGAAAGTGAAACAATATGCACATTATAGAAAGAATATAATAAATAGATTTTTTTTTAAATATATATTAAATATTTATATTTATGGCAATTCAAACCTAAACTATGTGGTATAGAAAAATTGCTAATTATTATCCAAACTATATGACAAAGCGTAATATCATGTCACATAAGATTATGAAAGATGCAATGTTGTCACTTAAACTCAACGCCTTTTGTAATTATATATAAGGGGGTGATCAATTTCTAGGTGTTAACTTCAAGTTTGTGGTGGTTTGTAAATACTGGTGATCTCCAGTAGTCTATAGGGATGTAAATGGGTGGGGATGGGTACGGGTTTTGGCAAACCCGAACCCAACCCGCATATAATTTACCCTACCCAAACCGACTCGTTACTCGTCTAGTGATTTTCGGGTTCGGGTTGGATTTATCCAGCGTGTTAGTGGGTTTTCGTCGGGTAAACGGGTAACTTGAGTCTTAAATTTGAGTTTTAATCGACCCTTCTTGTTTCATATGAAAATAAAATAAAATAATTTTACAATTAATTAAAATGTAAGAAATCTATTATTATATAAAGAGGCAACCTAAATAATTCAAAAATAGTAACTAAAAAATCATCTAAATTCCCGCCTAATATATTACTAAACATAGTAAATTATTTTGGAATTTTCCAAAAATTCCGCCCAAACAAATTTGAAATTTTTGTGTGAAAATTTTAAATCTAAGGATTTTTAAAAAAGATTCATCTTTATCTTAACTTTCTTATCTTTAGCTAACTTCCTTATCTTAACTCTCTCATCTTTATCAAAACTTAGAATAATAATATGTAGTGTAAACTAATATTCAAATATACGTATTAACCACAATTATATCATTTTAAAACAAAATGATTATGTTATTTTATAACGCTAATATAAATTTATGGAAAATTAAATATGTTAATATCTGTACAATAAAAATTAAATATGTTAATATTTATACAAAAAATTAAATTTATGGAAAAACTGATAAATAATGTAATATATTTAAATTGATAAATAATATTTTATAAATATTTCTTAAAATTTATTTTTATGTAATTTTATCAAAAATTTATGGAAAAACTTTAAAATGATTATTTTATGGTGTATTAATGAATTAAATTTTTACTATCTATCTATTGATATATAAAAAGGAAACGGTATTTACTTGAAATAGCAACTAAAAATCAGCAAAAAAAATAATAATTAATTTTTCACCTAAAGTGTTTACTATATTGAGTAATATTTTTTGCCAACATTTAAAAAATCCCGCATAATTAATGTAGTTAATGTACATAATCATTTTGGTCAAATATTACGGCTATTACCTTTATTAGTTGCATTATTTTAATTTGAAATATAATATATTGATAAAACTTGCAGCTATTACCTTTATTAGTTGCATGATTTAAATTTAGTATATAATATATTGAAGAAAAATAAAAAGATTTTTATTTAAAATTTAAAAATAAAAAAATAATTATTCATAATTTGTGGGTCAATATTAATTTGGACGTAAACGAAATAGTCAATTATTTTTAGTTTAATAAAGTATTCACTAACTTAAGAGTCAATATTAACTTAGACGTAAACGGGATAATCAATTATTTATAGTTTAATATATTACTCAACTTTTTTTTTTATTTGAATAGTTTATACAAAAATAGATTATTTTAAGTAATGAATCGATATACATTTTATATTTTTACTTATTATGTACATAGGTTGTTAAATATATGATAACATTTTACCAAAAGAACTATTTTATGGAATCATATTATAACCAAATCGAATTTCTGAACAAAAATTTTGAAATGATACTTATTTGAAACGAATATAATGTGATTTATTATCATTATCTGCACCACACGGGTTGTGTACTAATTTTAAATAGACATTTTTATGTAATTTTGTACAATTTAAATTTTACATAACATTTTCAAGATAATTGTATTACATATTGATTCTATATTTTTAATTTATTAATATTACTTAATAAAAAAATTTAATTTATATATATTAGTTAATATCTCTTATCGTGCACAGCACGGGACTCATACTAGTAATTTATTAACTAAGTTTGACAATAAAAAACTATATATAGTCTATTTAATATTATAACATTTAAAATTAAGTATTTAATTTTTTATTGTACAATTAACAAAAAATGATAATAAAATTATAAAAAATAAAATAAATTTAACCATTAATTAAAATTATAATAATAATCTAATTTTAAAAAATAACACATGACTACTTTTATATTTATTATAAGTTATAAATATATATATATATATATATATGTATATATATATATATGTGTGTGTGTGTGTGTGTATGTATGTATGTATATATACATGATTCAATGGTTGCGGGTAAACGGGTAGGTTAATCGGGTCGGGTTTGGGTTTATCTACCACACCCAACCCGACCCGGGTTCGGATAGCATAATTCTACCCTAACCCGACCCGAATCCCATTAATCTCGGGTTTACCCGACCCAAAAATACAAGTAGCCCGACCCTACGGGTTTTATTGACATTCCTAGTAGTCTAGTAGATTTGAACTTTTATTAATGCATATTAGAATTTTTAAAATAGTAAAATATTTGGTCACCTTAAATTATAAATATATTTTCAATAATAAAATTTTATTATTATCGAGTTTTAATATATAATATATCAAATTAATCATTTTATTTATGATTTTCGAGTTGATTTCATAACGACACCAACCCATCGACCTCCGACGAGCCAAAAGACCAACCCCGACCTTCTAGCGAGCCTACAAACACATCCCGATCTCCTATACCTCCTTCTAGCTCCCCCATACGACTAACCGTGGCCGGCGAGC